CTATCACACTCAGTATGAGCGCCACCATCTTTATTTTGTTTCCCCCTTCCATCAACCGGCCCCCTTGGCCATGGACGCTTTCGGGAAATCACACCAATCATAACGTTGCACCACTGTCGCAAATGACTTGTCTCATTGGCTGTTGCTAGGTTCTTATGAGCTCAATTAAGTTTAAACTTCGGAGCACTGAAGCTTATTGGGGAACTCATTTGGCAAGCCTCCAACTTGTTAGTGACTTAGCAAGCATGCTAAGTCAGGGTCGCCCAGACACTCAATGGCCTAGCCCACCCGGATGACCCGGAGACTTTGTGGACGGTCACGGTGCCCTGCTCCACTCATCTTGAGGATTGAACGGTCCGGGAGGGGAAGAGACATGGCCGTCCGGGGGCCCGGGCTTACCGGCAGCTCCGTATCGGTTTGCTCCCACGATTTGCTTCTCTTCATTCCCCCGCCTTGCACCCGTTGTTTGGGTTACCGCCGTGTCTGACCGCGAGGGAGACTGAAACATCATCCAAACTTCTTAGAGGATGTGGACGCGTGGCGCTCACCTGTCTGGTTTATTTGGTCGGGACGGAGGAGCTCTTTGCCAACTCCGCGCAGACCAGCAAACATTCTTCCTTCCCGTCTCCTAATTCTCTGGACGACGATCAAAAGGTTATCCTATTCGTACGTGCGTCTTGCTCCGGCAAGATGAGGCGGAATCAAGCTTGAGGAGATCCCTGGGCCGCTCGGCCACCACTTTTTGATCACCTTGCCGGACGGCCGTCTTTCCCCGCACCAGCCGCCTGACCTCCATATCCAAGGATTCGGGAGAATTGGCGTAGAAAACCGACATTGGAGACACGAGCACGGGCGTGCTTTCATCTCCGACTCACGCTCGGAGGCTTAGGCTGCTGGCACCACCCACGTAGTCTTGCATTATGCAGCAGCATAGATCGCCCGCTCGATGGCCCGGACCGCTTGTGCCTTTACCTCGCTTCCAGGCGCGGGCGACTCCAACGACAGAAGCCTAGAGGGGAGTTCTTTGCGCCTGTTATGGAGGAGCAAGCCTGGCACGAATACGGGCGCCGTCTGATCTCGGTGCTGCGTCCAGTCCGTGCTCTTCCCAGTTCTATTGACTGTAGGCGCTTGTGAGTGTCTCTGGGCTGTCAGTCTGCGTCACACTGAAATCACAACGAATGCCTGACTTTGCTACCACTCAAGACCTCTGTTTGACGGACGACGCTTGCACTACTTGAAGATCTACATTCTTTTTTTTTTTTATTGGGGAAGCTGAACAAACTTTGTGTTACATCGCACGTGATGCTTTCCGATTTCGACATTTTGGAGAGACGTCGTTATCGGTAACGGAAACTGCACGCCGAGCCGGGCCAAGCCCCGGCCGAGAAAGCTTGACGGCGCAGCACAAGACAGCGAGAGAAAGAGCGGGACATCACCCAAGAAGCGGATTTATTTGGTTCTGACATCCCAGAGCAGGACTGCAGCGCTCGGCAGATAGAAGTGGGAAATCGTACGAAGCTTCCGTACTAGATGTTGCAACCCTGACCGGCCAATTTCCTCCGACCATATGCCATGTTGAAGTCCGGAATGTCTACACCGGGCCGATTTGTAATTGGGACGGCTCGGACCAGTGACAACCAGTGGATTGCAAACCCGAGGCACCGAATTTCTCTCTAGAGCATTTGGTTGGATCATCTATCAGGGGCAGATGCAAGCCTGATCGACGAATGGGCAGCAATGATAGCCTAACTCACCAAAGCTAGAGTAGAGAGGTGTAGGAAGATCGTCAGACGTCTATCAAGAGCCGCAACCCAATGACACTGCCGGCTACCAGACGATGCCCCCTCTGGCAGGATACCCGATGACAAGGAACCATGTACGTTTGGCAGCAACTTGGTGGTAGTACACTGTCAAACTGTACACCCCCTTCATGCTACTGCGACTGGCCCCCTCCTCCGGCAAACAAAGGTCAAATATAGAGATACGAGGCGGGAAGGGCAGTCACAGACGAAGTGACGGCTCTAAGCGCCGGACCGCACCCGTCCCTACTCTACCACTGCCGCAGGGCTCTCTTCGTCTCCATTGTTGCTCCAATCTCTAATCATCCCGTACGACATATATACTTTCAATAGTGGCGCCCGGCTCGCGGCTCACGTCACCGATGGACCTAGCGCCAGACTAGTCCTGCTGTCTGGCAGTCCGCGGCATGCGAGCGTTGTATGCCGTTTGTCGTTGGGGGCTTAGCGGGCTAATTAGCTTAGGATTTACAGTACTGAGGTAAGAAGTTTACCTCCCATGCCACTTACATGGGCCTCGGGAGAGGGGGTTGGGACGATGAGCCTTTGAGGTGACTTTGGTGACTTTGGTCCCTTTCTTAGCTTGAATCCCGCCCTGGTTCAAGTATTGCGCTGGCTCTCTGTGGCTTGCAGGCTGGGCAGGGTTTTGCGGGCAGAAAGATGCAAGACTTGTTGATGTTGCACTTCTACCCGAAAGCCACACGAGAGAATACGACGAGCAAGTTTTTTTTTTTCGACCATCCTTCCCTTTTGTCGATTTGACTGACTGATCTACTTCGTAGCGTCGAAGGCACCGGCTGGCAGCGGGCGGCTAACAAGACTCTTCCTCCTCAACCGAGGGAACGGAACGACGCCTCATTGTTCAATTTTTTCTTCTCTTCCCTTATTTGGCGCCAGCGCGAAGGAGACATCAAATGTTGTTGGTGAATCTAGACGCCACGGTCTGCACGGGTCCATCCGCTTGACGTTCCAGTCCGCTTTCTTGGTGAACGACGACGACGACGCGCCCCCCTCATCGACATCGTGGGCTTGGAGAGATATGGATGCCTAAACTCGCCCTTCCCGCCCTTCCAACCCACCCCCGGGGGAGAAATTCAACCGGAGGAGAATCGATCCGGAGGGAGAAGAAAGAGCAAAAAAAGAAAAGAAGAGGAGACGAGGCTGAACGAAAGCGAGACAGGGAGAAACATCCGAGGCACTGCAATGTTGCGCTATGGACCGAGACTAAACCCCAAGCGAGGGAGAAAACAGGAGAAGTTCCAACGAGTCCCACGTCCCGCTTTGGCGCCGCTCCTGTCTTCGACTTTTTTTTGGGCTTCGCCCGCAGTCTGGGCAGAATTGGCGCTACAGGATCTTCTTCTTTTTTTTTTTCCGGCACACGCAGTAAGTTACCTTAGTTCCCTCGGCTGTAGTCGCTCAGGGCACGCGCGCGCGTGGGTGCGTTGTTCGCGTGCTCAACGAACGAGAAGGGAAAAAAAAGTGGTCTCTTGACCTCACTTGATGTGATGCGAGAGAGAGAGAGAGGCGTGTGTATATGCATATGTGGGAGAGAAAAGCCATCGCTCGAAGAGAAAGTGGGACAAACATCGACATCTGGTGCAAGTACACTTGGATATCCTCACTGTTCGTTCGCCCTACTCTTCATCATCCCTGTTATTTTTGGCAATTCTTTTCACAGAGTTTGGTCAAAAAATGTCTCATGATCGAGAGACATTGAGTTCAGGTTGGACTCCATCGAGACGCACTTCGACACTCGCTACTCTCGCTACCGCGGGACACTACTGCTCACGAGACCTATCGAGACCTGTTTTCGAGGCCCGCCGTCGTCTGACGATGAATGTGTGAAGAAAGTATATGCAACGCCAATGTCGACTTTCATGCATCGTGGATACGAACATCATGAGACGAGCGAGAGACTAGAAATGCAGGAGATTTGAGCGATTGGCAGAGGGAAATGAGCACCGAAATGCGGGCGTTACAGAAGACTCGCAAGAGAGGAGCTGAGGCTGGAGACGGAGAAAAAAAAATGCAAAACGATTGCACCTGCCGGAATTCGAATCCGGGTCCCTCGCTGATTCTGAATATCCCGAAATGTGGAAAGTGGAAGGCGAGGATGATAACCACTACACTACAAGTGCTGTTGGTTCATGGTGGGTACCGAGGCAGCAATCTCGGGATCAAGGGAAAGCGGCGGGAACGGATGGACCCCGCTCTGGGCATTTCTGAGGTTCGTCGGTGGGGTTGATGGGGTTCGGTGGGATCGTGAGATGAGGTAAGAGGAAGGGTGAGTGAAGATGGGTATGCTGGTGAACCCGCGTTGGATGTCATGTGTGAAAAGCAACCGGGAAGCATGTGGTTTCCATCATCACGATGTGGGAGTCGACACATCGTCGTCCGCTGTGTGGTACCGCGAGTATGATACGGTAAGCAGTCTGGGTTTCGTCCAAGATAACTCTGCTTACACGATGCCGGCGGCTCATCTACGCTCAAGACCGCGCCTGAGCTGGCAATGTCCTGTCTCTGAAGTTGAACTCCTCAGTCCGTGAGTCTCAGTGAAGATGGTCTCCTCAATATTTCTCGGGAGTTGGAAACCACGGACATGGTCCTCGATACTGTAGCTTACCTCGCGTCAAGAACGGACATTGAAGCCGTCGAGCTCCCGGTTCCACGTCGCCGTCATACCCTCACTCTCTCGTCTCTGAAGATGAAAGGGTAGTTATAAGCATGTACCAACTTCCAGGCGCATACGTCCGGTATCAATCGGGGTGGGCGGAGCCATATCTCGAGCTAAGCGGGAGAGGGATGGATGTCACAAGTTCAGAATGTTCCCAAGAGCCACGAAGCTCGTCATTCGGAATCGATGCACTTCAAGCAATCATATCCTGGCGTTCGCAATCTGGCTGTCTCATCTTCCATGATGTGAATAAGCGACGCTCACGTGCAAGGAGTGATGGGGACGGGTTGCCTCCAGCCTTCACGATACCTTCAGCAGAGTCCTCTCGAGTCATCGTAGGTCGCTTTCTAGACCGCTATTCATCGCTGGAAGCTTATTGAAAGTCTGACTGCCAATATAACTGTGTACAGTGACCATACTCACGCAATCGCTGCAACTTGGCGGTAAGTCTACTCAATCCTCCAAGACAGTTGACCATACAGCCAGCCATCTCTCCCACGGAACCTCAACTCAAAAGTGAGCTTTCATCCTCACATGACTGAGCACAATATCTCGGTTCCATCATAATCCAAGCTATCCTCTTCTTGATACCATGTTTCCACAGGCTTCTCGTTCCGGGGATAGCGACATGGCAACTCCCTCTGGCTCTCCAAGACCTTTGCCACAATCTTGAGGCTCGCCCTTTCTCGCTCTTTCCGCATCAGTGCATCAACCATATGAAGCCGCGTCCCCAACTCCAGGATGCTCTGGCAGTCGGAATCTTGTGCTCTCGCAAGTTCGTATTCAATCTTCTCAAAGGTTTCGATCATGTTGACATACAACAGTATGTAGTTGAATGTGGAGTAAGAGCGGTTCCCACAAATATCGTTGTATAAGTCTCCCTTGATCAGATCGAGTATTTGCACTCGACTAGGCCTGACGCGATCCCCGGACACGACTTCAATCGGCGTACCGTTCCGGCCGGTGCTGTACTGGTGGGGCCGTGTCTCGCCGAGCTTCTTCAACAGGGCATTCCCTCGGGACAGTAGCTCTTGATCGTCTACACCCAAAGCTTTCTTGACGCGGTCAACCAGACTCTTCTCATCTTTGGTCATGCTGTTCAGCGGAGTATTGGCAACCAGCCTCGAAGCGCGGAGCAAGGCCAAACGAGTCCGTGGATTGAGCTCCTTGTCCGGTATCCATTCGACATGCCAATTCGCTTCTCGGTAAATCAACAAATGAGACTTAATGTTGAAGGCCAAGTTTCTGCTGACGTCGATTGAGCGATGGTATCCAGCTGATTTTGGGAGGGCCGGCTTTTGTTTCACTCTGCCATCACCCCATAAGAGCTCTCCGATGCCAAGGAAGGCTTCAGCAAAGTTGGACCGTGGAACTTGGCCATCGAGAAAGAAGCTATCTCGAAACATGTCTTGTAGTACTTGATAGTGAGCCAAAGGCTGCTTTATGTGCCCTTGCTGTACAAGCATGTTGTGGAGATGTATCATTGCCGTCGGTTCCTCGAGGCTGTCCCAGATGAGCATGCTTGTGCGGTAGACCCTTTCCAGGCCCTCCATCACTCCCACACCACAGAGGTACGGAGAGTACCTCCACATACCATTGAGTCCGGTGTGATCAAAGCGGGATGTTGGGAGTATGTCGCCAGTCATTGGCACTGACTGGCCCAGGAAGTCGAACTCTCTGCAAAAGACGCTCACGAAATCCATCATTGGCTGCCTATGGGCGTTACGGAGTTCTGCCCCGTAAAAGTGAGCCATCAAGTTGGCAGACCGAAAAAGTCCATTGCTGAACCCCAAGTTCTTGTCGTCGTTTTGAATGTTGCTGTCATCCTTTGTGCTGCCGCCTATAGATAGCTCAATGTCACCGATGTACAGTTTGGTACCGCTTTTGCCTTTGCCTTTGACGCTGCTCTCCTGATTACCGTTTCCTACGGGTCTGCGTCCCAGAAACCCATCAATGTCTCTCATCGGGCCAAGCGTATCCGGAGATCGTGGTCCAATGACATGCCCCCGCCGAGTGGTGTTGGTCCAGCCACATGATACGGTGAAAGCATCGACAATGCATTGTAGCTGAAAGACGCGGTGAGGCATGATGTCTTGATGAACATCCGTTCCTGGCTTCTTCATTAACAACGAGACGACAAAACACGCGAAATCCTGAAGACCAAGAAGCGGTTCAGAGCCCGCCAACGGACAGTTGGGTAAGTTTTCAAGCCGCACCCATTCTCCATCACTGCGCTTAGGGGCTGTATAGGAGTTGACGAGATCATAAAGCCAGTTGATTGTGTATGATCTTCGCCACTTCAATCTTTCCCTCTTCGTAGTATGTTGTAAGTCTAGCGTGGGATCCCAGTCTTTGATCTTGACAAGCATCTTCGTAGTAGGCTTCCCATCCTCTGACTGTTGATAGTCTTCGAGGAAATCAACAAGATCCCGGTAGGTGCCGAGCTGAATGTACTCTTTCAAATCGATAGAGGTCGTTTTGGTTCCTCCATGCTGATCACCCGGACTAACTTTTGCCAAAGCTTTGATGAATGAGCCTTGTGCAGTCTCGAGGTTTCCACGGATGATGGCCGCCACAAGCGTCTCGTATGATTGTAACTCTGGGACCTCGCTGAAGACTTCCAATTCGGTATCCTAGACCATTTCAATAGCGACTTTAGACAGTGTACCGGCAATAGCCCCATGCAAGCCACAGTACGCTGCCTCGCGCCAGACATTCTGGAGATAGTTTCTGAGTACGACGCACTCCTTGGCAATTGCGCAAGCAGCCATAAAGGACTCGGCTTCTCCAGTGCCATCGGCTTCGACGATGCTGTATTGCTCAATAGGTACCTGGTTCAATAGGGCACCGGGAGCCTTCTTCGCCTTTTTCTTGCCCTTGCCCCCTCTACCCGATTTCGCTTGGGCTCGCCTTTGGGATCCACGAAGAGGAACAGGAACGCTGTCACTTGAATTCTCTCCTGGGCTCTCAAGGCTCAGGCTTTTTAAGTCCAATGCCGAGAAATTGATGAAGTCGGCAAGCTTTTCTGGAGTCAAACTGCTGGTATTCGATCGACCTTGCACGCCTCTTGACTGCTCGGTCTCTATCCAGGAATTTCCGCCGAGGGCAACGAAAGCTTCGGTAACGAGTCGGACAAACGTGTCGTGAATCTTGATGTCTTTGCCGTACTGAGGGTCTTCCTCGCTTACGATGCGTCGTAAGAAGGCTAGATGCTCCGTTCTCGCGTCGATGACGGACCTGAATAGTCGGAATGTAGCAGGCGGTATCGCCTGCATGTGCTTGCTCACAAACTTTGCGACCGATTGGAAATCGTTGACATGGATCTGTCCGGTTGTGTTGAACTCAATAGGCGACTCCTAGGCGCCGTTGTCCCTTTTCCGTGTCTTGAAGATAAAGTTGGATGCGTGGATCATCCAGTATGCAAGTTGCCTGGCGTCGCGTTTGTACACGACGAAAGGATTTGATCTCGCCATTACTTATGATCTAGGAGGAATGCTATGACGTCGGCGCCGATGGCAGGCTATGTGATATGGCCTCCTAATGATGCTGCGTTCCATATCAGCGAATGCAAGATGCAGAAGACCCTCACCTGAATGATACATACAAGCTGTTCGTATTGGAACTGATGGTTGGGCTGTTAATCTCAAGCCGTTAACTCCTAAGAAAGGGATGTTGTCGGCGCCCTCTTTGGCGGGTAGTGCTGTGACGAGGAGAGATGCAGCCCCGACCAAACATCTACGCAAGAGCTGTGCGAGGACAACGAATCACCGAACTTTCTTGTGCAGCTATGGGGGCACTCTCCTACCATAGGAATGCCTTGCAGGACTGTTGCGCTTGTCAGCTTGATCCCGGGAAGCTGCTAAGCAGGCTAGGTTCGGTTTGGACTACGGAAGGCGCATATCGTGAACCTACGTCATCACGTTGCTGCCGCCAATTCTTGGGCAGGTCGGCGCTCACTCCATCCCAGGGGCTCCATATTCCTCCTAATGTCTCCACCCTACTGAACATATCAACGCTCTTCAATGTGAATATAAAGTTTAAGAGGGCTGTTGAGGAAAACCTCCTGAATGCGCTCTCCAACTAGTCTCATCCGTCGTCCATCGGGCATGAAGGGTAGGTCGAAAGAAGAGAATTCGATAAGCTTACAGATTTGGCCATCCGCCACCCTTGAGAAAATGCTATGGACGGATAGATAGTAAGTTCGGAGAAGAGATATCTTTAAATTAGCCAAGCCGCAGATATACTGCGAAGAAAAGAAGACTCCCCGGCGTCCAGCGTGGAAATGTCACGCTGGACTGATAGCTCTCGCCTGCTCCAAGCCACATGCTAATCCTATAATGCCATAGGGCCATCAACGTCGTCAACACCTCTTTGCTTCTATAACCGTCCATGCGCTTCAGAGACTTATTGCTTGGCCTAATCACTCAACCAAGTCGTCGTTCATACGTTTAGTGATGAAAATGATACCGATGATGCGAGTCGTGTGCCCCAGGAACCAGAACGCCATGTGCCCGATGAAGAGTGCAACCTTGCGTCTCCCGATGCTAGATCTCTATGCCTGTTTGCACCATCCACAGTTCGCTTTTGTGCACCGTGGACTTTCCGTTTCCTAAGTCATCTAAGTGCGGCCTTCGATTACTGGGGCCGCTTCGTTGGTGACATTATCTAAAGTCTCATCTTTCTCGTCCATTGGCCCATAGCGACCCGATTCTACTGCTGCATGATGGGTCTGTCAGGATATAAGCCCTGAACAATGGTCCAACACCACCGTGTAGAGCTGTCCTCATCCTTGAGGCCCCGAAGCCAGTTGATACCCTGCGTAATCGTCATGTTCGCTGCCTCGTCGAAAGTTGAGTCGCAACGGCTCTGTCGAATCTGGAAGAGAGTGGGATGCGTGGCAGATAGGTGCAAGAAGATGAGTATGCCGAGGATGTTTTGGGACCAAAAGTAGAGGCAAGGAATCATGCGTTTGTGCTGAGCGGCAGGCGGAAGGATAATGGGCCAGAGGAGACAAGCCTCTAAAAATCTCTTGGTTGCGGACAAGTCTGTCTCAGTCAAATTTTCTGCTCGTGTATGCAGAGCTTTGTACACAAAAGGTCGGAATAGTAAGTATTCGAGATGGTAGAATTGGGACCGTAGTATAGCTTCGAGCACATCGTTCGAATTGGTGTAGAGTGAATCATGTAGATACCCCAGCATGGGAGCAGACTGCAACCCTTCCATGGCGTCGGCGGTGTACAAGGTCGGCGGTGCGTAAAAGTGCTGGTCAGGAACCTGCGGATCGAGGACAGGAAAGGATGCTTGGAATGCGTCCAAATGTTGCGTCCTGTCCCAATGCAAGACGCTGGGCAAAGAAGTGTGCCATTGGTCGAGCTGCGAAGCCAAATCACCAACTAGATCTTCGAGAGAGTCGGCTAGATCAGGCGAATTCCAGTTTGATCTCGAAGTGGATCCTCCAAGAACTGGTGCATATGCATCGTGTCAGTGGGGGTCAAAATATTGGAGATTTCTTCTGATGAGACATATGGGGAGAAGCCGGCTCGCTGCACTTGCGCCCATCCAGGGGGCCCATACGCGAGGCGCGCATCAGAGGCAGACGCAGGTAGCAAAAGACCAAGAATACGAAGCCAAGCGCATATGGAGACTCTGAACACGGCGTTATCGACGTACGTCGACCAGGCTGAGAAGAAAGTGGAAATGGAAATATGGACGGAAATGGAGAGAGGGTCCAAAACCAGGAGGGGTACGACGGAGAAAGGCAATCCAACTCACTTCTTCTCAGGCTTTTGTGGATCTTGACCCCCAGGTTTCGCAATGAAATCTGATGTAGGAATATCTCACCGCAATTGGATCTCCTGTCGTTGTGAATACTTTGACTCAAACTCGCATCTTCGGTATGAGCATAGGCCGAAAATGTTGGTAGTTGCATGCTCGCCTCTAGCTTCTCGAGGCCGGTTAAAGGGAGGTCAAGTTCCAGGTGAAGACCGCTGCAGCAAAGCACCGGTTGTTAGATGACGGATTCTTGTGGCGGGAAGAGCAACCCTTGCCACAGGTGAAGGTATACGGAGTAACGGAATACGAAGTGCAAAATAGCAACAAAGGAGATGCAACAGGAGTCCCTTGCTCATCCGCAAGCTGAGGCTGCCTTGGCCAAAGATCCATGGGTAGAACAGGGGCTGGGATTGGGGGCTCGATGGGGCCAGGGGAGGAGGCGTGGGTTGGGGTTCTCGGGATGGACTGTAAATCTGCGATGCACGTACGTTTCCATGATGGAGCAATACCAAAAGGCGCGGCGGATCTGATCGCCGCGCACTGAGCGAAGTTCGGCAGAGTTACTACAAAGGTCCGTCAGCCCATTTCCGGATCAGCACCTCACCACAGTCATTTAAAGTCTCAGACAGCCCCAGCTGCAGACAGACAGGCCACCACCAATGTTGCTGCTTCTACTTACCTGGTAATCAAGGCACGGCAAGCCAGGGACGCCGATATGTTCATTCTCCAGAACTCCTACGCGAGATTTTGGTTTAGCCAAATCCGTCCGGACAGTCTTCCCCTCAGGTGGTCACTCACCACATGCCGAGAACAGCACTCATAGTACAGCCTGTCGTCGGTCAAGCCAATCCCGGGTTAGTCAAAGTTTCGCACCGTACAGGAGGTCCGCACTCCGAGGTGCGGCCCGGGCGGCCGGACCCGGCTCCGGGAAACTTACCCCGCCAAGATATACATCTGGACATTCTCCAAAGCACACTCTGTCATTGAGAATCCCAAGCGCCGCCGTGCTTCGTTGAAGAACAGAATGCCCGGCGGCCGGAATTCCAAGTCGTTTGTCGTCCTGACAGGTTCACCGACAGGGTGGTCCTCGAAGCCCGCAAAGGCACCGCCCGATCCTCCGACGAGAGCTACCTCGGCAAGGGCCAACACTAGACACACCAACGTAGATGCCGCATTTTCCTCGAACTCGCTCCCGATGACGTCCTGTAGTATCTTCTCCATGAAATATTGACGATCTAGAACAGGATGGATCCGATTAAAGGTATCGAAATACGTGTTGACGCGGTCTACAAGCGTTGCGTAGCTCATCACCGTCAGCTGTGGTAGTGGCCCTTCCATTGGAAAGCCCAGCGATATACGTTCATGATAGCTCGCCGTTTCTAACCCGCCTCGAGGAAGGCGCCGGTCTTGGCCTTGCTGATGGAACAACTCGGACGGAAAGTCGGGTTCCCGGAAGGCGGATTGGAGGTTCGGTATTTTGGGCTGGACGTCTTCTAGCTTCTGTCTCACTGCAGGCCACGCCATCATCTTGGTGACTGCAGACGCATATCGGTATGGAACCTGCTGCGAGGGTTTCGGGGTAGGCCGGCCTTGGGCCTTCAAAGTACTTGTCGATGAAGCGTCATCGCCACTATCTTCAGACTGTGAAGAAGACGGGACGCTGATCTGCATGTTCTGGAGCTGGGCGAACAGTTGCGGTATTTGACTGGTATTGTCGTTGATGTTTTTCACGATTTCGAGTAGTTCAACCAAGCTTTTGTCTTTTCTATGGCCAGTTAGCATGTCCAGACTGAGCTGACAGCGTTGCTCTAGGACGTGATCGTCGGCTCACTACAGCTTAAGAGAGACGGGCAAAGAAGGACAGCAAAGGTTGATCTCGCTCCCAGGAGTCGCGCCAGGGCCGTTGACTTACTTCGTTGGTACTGGGTCTCCGTAGAAGCAGTCAAGCCCCTTCTTTTCGCAGAAGCCACAGGTTGGCTTGCGTTCGTCGCATTTCTGCTTCCTAGTACGACAAGTCGAACATGCCTACAGAGATGTCAGACTAAATCCAGGCCAAAATCGTGTCACGCCTAGAGGGAGGAGAAAGAAAGCGGCTCCATGTTCTCGCGGATCAAGGTAACGGCCCTTCGCCTTTCCATCATCTACCACTGGGCACTTGTCCAAAGCCCTCGGGGTGATAGACACGAAGACCACAAGGCCAGTCTAGAGATGGTAAGGATAGGTACGAGGATTAGGGCTGAACTTACTATGGCGGCGATAGGGCCACGATCCTTCTTTTGGTACATTCGGCTGGAGCCCGACCCCGTTGAGCTCGAAGCCACAGATTTGGAATCGAAGTTCATTATTCACCTAATAGTGAAGGGGTTCGGGAGGATGGTCGAATCCAGGGGGGTTCGGGTCATTCAGTGAGATTTGGTAGTTGATGTTGAGGCGAAAGGGTGGCATGCTAGGCTAGGCAGGGCGACAAGAGAGACAGAATGGTCGAGACCTGCGGGAAAAGAGGCCCAGCCTAGGCAAATGGTCTGGGGTCGTTGAGTCTGCAGAACCCTAGTGGCGATGAGGGGGCAGCAGCGGCCAGGAGAATGACCCAGGGCGATTCTCGGCCGGGCGCAGCATCCGCGAGCTACTGGGGCAAAAGATGCAAGTTGATTTTGGACGTCGGTGACGAGAGGTAGTTGAAGTGGCTGCGAGGGTCCTTGGCGAGACTCAGATGAGTCCCGATGAGGTTGTCGACCAGTTGAACAAGGTGCAGAAACCTCGTTCAACATGGGAGATGGGAGGAGACGTGGAACCGGTGCCCGTCTTTTCGACCAAGAGAAACGGCACGGCAGGCGGGGTGGGATATGGGTCTGGGTCACCCGGAGCACATGCCGTGCAGCAGTTGTTTTTACTCAGTCTTCTTGTTCCTCGGAAGTGTGTCTTTCTTTCTTCGTCTCTGTCTCTCTGTCTCTCTCGCTCTCTCTTGATTTTTAGATTTTTGGATCTCGATTTTGTCGGAGAGGAACGTGCGGTACCGCCGGCGCTGCGGGTGGACTCAAAGACTACACCGAGGGACGACAATGCCGACGAATGTTGTTTGTTGACTGCTAGACACCACCGGTAAAAACCGAGCGGAATGTGTGGTACACAGCCTTTCGGATTTGTGTGTGGAAACAGAAGGCTGGCGAAGATGCGGCAAGAGAGAAAAAAAATTGTATTTGATCGGAGTCGTGCCCGACTCCCCGTCACAGCGTTTGTCGAAGAGCAGTAACGCAACCTACGCACTCTGGAGCGGGAAGGAAAGGGCTTAGACGAGGGCAACCAGAACGATAACGGCAACGGCAGCGACGCTCAAACCACGGACATATGCGACGACAGCAAGGCAAGAAGCTGAAGCTACCGAACAGCGGCAGCTGTGACTGCTTGCTTATGCGCCTTCGATATGAAGCGTTGGAAGAGAGATTGTTCCTGTACAGGAACCCTATACGCGATGCACAATTTCGATTTGCCTGAGAGAGAGGCCTGAAGGGGTGCAAGGGGACGCCGACACGGCCCAGCAGTGGTAAAGCGATGTTCTACTAGCAGGACCAGATCACGAAGCGGAGCCATGAGAGAGAGGACGTATGTTGATGAGTCTTTGCCCCGTTCCATGTCTTGGGGGGGCAGTTATGACCATAATATATGCAGAACTGACCGTTCGAGGCCGCAGGGAATCGCACGCTAGCAACAGCCAGGTTGGGACGACAGACTTGGCTCAAAATAAGTTTCACTGCTGCTGAGGCACCCGAACCCGAATCTAGACAAGGCGAACACGCTTGTCGGTGGTCATCGGCGCGGCGGCAACGGCAACGGCAACAGCAACCGTAGTGTGCCAACGATAGGTAGCGCGGCACAGATGGGTTGGTTGCGTTGAGAACACGGGTAGAACGAGATGAGATGCGCCATGTGTCTTGTGAGAGCGATACGATGCGATGGGTTGTGCCGCGCCCAAGCCCTTGGGGGGGTAAAATAAAGAGTCATTGGTTACCGTCCTCATCCCGTTCAGCCTGGGTTTCCAGAACAAAAGGAGACATTAGCTTACAAGGGTCTTGAGCTAGTTGACCAGGCCCATTAGTAAGGTGAGCGAGGTATCGAGGAGGCAATGTATGGATACATTAGATTTGTGCTTGAGGCGACCGCTCCACGTTGTTTTCCCCGCGACATGGCCTCACGCAACCTTCGCCTATTTAGGAACATACGCCAGAGTCGGTGGCTGTGTATGAGTGTGTGTGAGTGTGCGCGCGTGCGTGTAGGTATGTGTCTACGGATATGAGAGAGAAAGAGAGAGGGAGAGTGAGAGAGTGTGTGCGTGTATGTATGTGAGTGAATAGGTGAGTGAGGGTGAGCGTGTGTGTGGTAGAGACAGCGCAAGGAGGGCATGGATTGCTCCGGCCATCTGCAGTGTCTTCGTAGTTTACCTACCTTACCTTACAGATAGATACCTTGCTTGTTCCAGCAGCAAGCTCCGCCGTGGCAAGGGTCAGCAGGAGGCAGAGACAAGACATTGGCGACGGTGACGGTGACGGAGACGGACGGCCACCAAGGTCCAGTTTCCTCCTGTCACCTCCCAGTCAGACAGGCCGGTCCGTCTCGCTCGATGAAATTTGCTGACGTGTGGGCGTGGATGGACGTGGATGGGCGTCTGCCGCGTCCTAACTCAGGTTGCAGGAAAGGTACGGAGTAGAGAGGTAAGGTTGTCGTCTGTCACTAGTACATAACCCGCTTTATCCTGGCGTTGAGCAGCATCCATTTGGTCGGAGCCGGTCCGGGGCCCTGCAACAGAAACAGGATAGCCCCTCCGCGGTAGCGAAGCGCCCAATGCGTGTGTAAGATGGTAAGGTATCGAGTCTCCCGCCAGTGGGCTAGTCGCTCATCCTTTCATTCTTGGGAGTGATGTGCAGCGTCTGATAGACACACATACAAAGTTGCAAGGGCAGATTGTTTAGTAGCCCTTTGACCATGTCTCTGATGCCGAGCCTGCGGAATAAGCTCACTAGAGCTAGGTACTGGGGGAAAGCATGGGCGTACGGACACATCCCAGTATGTTTTAGTCAGTGCCGGGATAGACCCTTGATAGGATGGGAAGAAGAGGTAGACATCTGTAACAGATTGTTCAGTAAGTAGATGTACTGATGAGGGAGAATAGACGGGAGTGGGTGAGAAACAAAGAAAGAAAGGCCCGGCGAGTGGGCAGTGGGCAGTGACGAGAGCCGTTTGGTCTTTTGGACGGGATCGAGGTGTAAGGTAGGTTGACAGATGGAGGGGGAAGAGACAAGACGGAAGCAATTCATTCCCCGCCAGCGTCCATTGTGTGTGCCCCTCTTTCGTTCGTTCGCCTGTCCCCGGGGGCACCGAGCACCCTCCTAGCCCGTTGCCATCCCTATTGAATGTAATTGAACAACAGGCTGAATGGACCTGTTGGAGCCCTATTCATCTTGGCTGCTCATGCGTGGCCTGTCGAACAGCCTTCTTTGATATCGCGGAAGTCTTTTGACGTAGGACGGTGGAGGCGAAGCGAGGGTGCTAACCGTATATACTGCCGAGCTGCCCGAGAATCAATGCGCAAAAAGAACGCCACAACCTCTGCGCTTAATAAAGAGAGGTAGAGATAGAGAGAGATAGAGGGAGAGAGAGAGAGAGAGAGAGAGAGAGAGAGAAAGAGAGAAAAAGCCATAAAAGTCCACGAGGTAGTTTGAGAAACGAAGGGAAGCCACTAACTGAGGGCGTGCTACAAGCTGTCCGCTTTGGGCCGGGCCTCAGTTAATAAACCAAAGCTCAGCAGTGCAAGACAGGCGAGCCGGTGGTTTTTGGGGGGAAGACGAGGTTGGATTCGGGCCTCACTCAAAATACGTCACCCCATGCGGCCGTGACGTTGTGTGCACCCTGCATATTCTAGACGGCAAAAGAATTTAGCTACGTCACCTTGCTTGCTCCTGCCTGGAGCGCAAATAGAAAAAAGGGGGCCGAAAAAAAGAGCCGTCCAGAAGGCGGCTTCTTCCCTGTGGGAGGAATGTTGCTGCAATGTCTCGTCTACCTTACCTCCCGGTGCACCCTGTGCTTACATAAATGAGGGCAAGAAGGAGAGGAGAGAAAATGTGGCTTGGACGGTGCAGGTGAGGTAAGCAGCCACTTCGTTTGAGGTATTCAGGCACTCTGTACGGAGTAGACGGCAGAGCATTCGTGAAGTACTCCGTATCTTCCTTGTAGAGGCAAGTAGGTAGGTAAGGTACGTCTAGCTAAGGTAGTCCGGGCAGTCCAGTCGACACCTTCCCATCTCACCTTAAGGTAGGTCCTCCTTGTGGAGTACTCCGTACTCGAGGATAGAATTCAACATATTGTGCGGCATGCAAAGTGCCTCGGACATCAGACGACCCTTGAAAGTCGTGACCTACCGTGCGGCGTGCCTCATCTCTTGTGTGTGTTTTTTTTCTTCCTCGTGAAGCTCCAGACCTGAGGTGACTTCAAAAAGTGCCGCAGGGCCATCTACCCTCCCTCCCCTCCGTCAACCTATGTACATGTACCTATCCAATTAGCGTGCTGTCGAATAGATGAGATGTGGGCAAGGCCCGCGAGGGGAGTCACTGGGAGGTTACTTTGCAGACAGGCAGTCGCGCACTCTCGCATTGTGTCCGTATTAATTGACCCTCTCTCGCGCTCTCGCGCGGCGGCCGAAACAAAGCGCCCCATGATCAAAAGCTGTGGAGCACAAGTCCGGGCCGTGCAAGCGTTCAAGCCTCCCAAGGATCCAAAGTCTCCCTCGCAATGTCTTGGGTTCCGACAAAATGTCGCTCCGGCTGGCCCCTCACGACCCAAAATTGCGATGCGTCTTCGGTGAGCGGGGGGAGGCCGGCGATGAGGGTGGACGGGAGTGTGAGTGGTCGGATTCCCTAGGCCGTCTGGTAGGGGGTGTGGGAGAAGGTTCCATCGGAGGGGGCCATCTCATCTGAATTGGATCTGAGCCAGATCTGCCTCTTCCTAATTGGGGCCAGCGTCCTCGCCCGCTCGCAACTCGGCCTCCAATGACCAAGAGCCCTACCTGACCTAGGGAACCAGCCCGCGCTAGCCTGCTGGTGTCACTATCCAGTCCTGTTCAACCCAGGTCCGGAATGGCTAGCGTGGCTTCTTATAAACTCTCCACTTCCATTGCCTGAGAAGTAAATCGCGAGAGTTGTTCAGGGCCTGCCTGCCATTGAGTCCCATCGACAGCACACGCACACACACCACATGTACCGAACACTTTCATTCCGACGGAACCTAGGTACTTGCCTGCCTTATCCGTCCTCACCTCCCGAATCACCTCCCGAATCGGAGAAGAACTTTTTACTTCACTTACCTTACCTCCAGGTGCCTTAGGGCCAGTAGGTAAGAAGAAAATACCTTGGGGGCTTGCAGGGTTTCCTTGTGCTCCCCAGCATGTTCTCTGTCGAAATGAACGTACCTACATACATAGTATCCTAAGGTATTGTACACTGGCACTAGGTAGTAGACGTCCACGTCATCTCCCCTTGCCCAGACCAAGGTACCTTGTGGACTTGTTTTCGCTCTAGAAGGAGCGCACCTCGGCTCTCAAGGCGAATCGCCGGCTGTGCGTCGCTAATAGTGTCTTAGGTTGGAAGGGACGACCCGATATGCAAGGAAGGTGCGGATGGGATCGAGGGAAAGCACGGGTCAAAGACTTACATGTCACGCCTGCTCTTCTAGACTTCCTCTCCCTCTCTAGAGTTCTTTCCTTCAATCTCTTGTAATGGAAAGAGCGTCATTTGATGCGTGGTCTGCCTGCAGGCGGATAATTACTCCTGCGCATTGATTCACAGAGGATACTTTGTACCTAGAGACACAAGTACCTGCGTACGATTACATGGGATTTTTGTCGCATCGCGGCATGCGCATGCTCCGCTTGCATGATCCCTCTCCCCAAGCGTAGTTGGAGACTAGGGCCTGTACGGAGTACCGCAGTAGAGGCAAGGTTCAAGCGACAATTCCCACGAGGAGAGAAAGAGAACACTGCTGCCACTGCCTTTCTTAGCAGGCCTACATTCCTAGTATTCTACTGGAGTAGCCGCTTGTCGACTGTCGTAATCAACTGGAGGCTCCGGAGAGACGAGGGTCCGCTGGCGAAGTGAGGTAGTTGAGTAGGATGGGCTTACCTGCCGTGAGAGCTTGGTGGAACCTTCGAGCCCTGCATAGCTCCGGTGAGGAGCAGGACCCTGAACAGGCTTGACGCGAGTTCGATGCTGCCTTCAAAGGTTTGTGTTAGTTGTAAATAATAATGTCAGGTGTTCCCCATTTACGTACCTTACCGTGCTTTGCATACCTAATTACCTCTTAAGCCACCCTGTAACTTCTGAGAGGCCTTGAAAAGGCGGCGGGGTGTTATCTGACTCTGATCCGGTATCTGATAAAATGCTCCATCTCAAGACCACCCAAAGAAATGCGCGTGGTAATTAAGACCCAGCCATGACTATTATTACTTACCCTTGACATATGCTTGGCCCAGAGGAGGTTTCTCGCCTTTGAGTTGGCGGGACAGCTCCCCAATCTGCCTAGGTTGTCTCCCTGGGCTTTCAGCCTCTCAGTTCCCTCACGCCCTGTAGGCCTGTACTCGGTAAAGGTGTGCCAAAGCCGTAAGTCCGGTGATCAGCAACTGCCTGCCTCAGGTTATGGCATCCATCCCATGTAATGTCTTTGCTGACCAACATCTGTCGGGCCATCACAGGCTTATTGAGTACAGTAGGCAATGGGCAAGGTATCCATGCGTACCTGAATCCTGAGGCGCAGTTGCTGGGGGCACCTTCACACGTTGGTTGGCTTAACCTTGAACGGATGATCAAGATATAGCGCGGTCTCTCAAGCTGGCCAATAATCTCCGAGGCGCGGATCCTATCACCAGGGCATTGTAAGGTACCGGTGAATGCGTTCCGGGCACTGCACACGTCTGATTGATCCATGACTCCCAACGTCTCCATCTATTTCGAATCCGAGAGAGCAAAGTATCTTTGTGCCATAGCTGAGGTATCCACGTACCTACGATACCTTCCTGGCCTCGAGCCCTCTTCCAACCCAAGTCCGAAATACATACGGAGTAGACGAACGGAGATACCACCCTCTTTTCTCACTTCCCCATCACCCGTCATTCATCGATTCCACATTTCCGACTGCTGCTCCCCATGCCGACTGTTACACGATCCTGAATGCCTGACAGCTGCCGGAGCAAAATGGAAGGAGCTTCCATTCTGTCAGCGACCCAGCCGCTCGCAGTCGCCAGCCGCGCATCTTGCTTGCTCCTCGACCATTCATCGGGCGCCTTCTCGCCTCATCCCTCCCAAGCCTGACACCACTTCATCCTTGACACCATGTCTTCACGTCAATCCCCGGCTTGGCTTGCAGCACGCCGTGGCACAGCTGTCGACCGGATGCCATGGTGAGCTGACACTGGCTGGGCAACCCCGTCCAACAACAGGACGGCCACGGATGACAAGTTTAACGCCGCATATCCGGAGGCTTTCGGGAACCGCAGTCCATTTCGCAGCAGCCCCTCTCGAATCCTACTCGCGTATCAGTACAAAGATATCAGAGCGGAACTGCACGGGGGCTTTGCTTCTGGTCGATCCGGAGAAACGAACCCACTGTCGCTGCCACCAAATTTCTCAGCGGCTGCCAACGACATACTGGGGCTCTGTTCTGGACGCCATTGCCTCAGCCTCATTCTCGGCCGATTACCTACACAGCTCCATTGATGCTGCCGTGACTCAAGTCATCTTTGCTCCTGGCACTTAACCTTTGTCAATGAGACGCTTTATCTGGCTGTTCAGATGGCAACGTCAGCTTAGGACAAAGGTGTGTAGTCGAGTCGCTACGATTACTTGCTCGATATTGCTTTGATGCCGTTGACAACTGCTCGGCATAGCATTCATCTCAAACAACTCTCTGGTGCCTCGTATAAGATTCACCATCTCAATTCGAGTCATGAGCATCCGAGCGCTACGCCATCGTCCACATTTTGCGGCTAGTAAATATTTTCGATGTCACATTCGTTGCTATGCAACTAGGCATCTCAAGTTTACGGCAGCAGCAATGCCAAAGTCAACCCAGTATCGTTTTCCCATTCCGTGGAAGCAGGCATGGTAGCCTCCTCAAGCTACTGGGTTGGACGATACCTGCCTGGTGGATCTATATGGAAGACGATGCGCTATCGGCGGCTAGCACTTGGCAAAATCCAGATACCGAGAGATTCACGTCCAGTGTTGGGTCCAGGCCTAGACTCTCTCTCCCCGCCCTCGCTTCGAAGTGCCAAAGATGAAATAGTCACTTCCGAAGTTGTGGTTTGGCTCATCGGCTTAGAAGCAAGCTAGCCTTTTGGCAGACCGCCGTCGACCGCCTCCCAACGCCAACCAGCGCCATCAGCCCCAACAAAACCCTCCCCTTTTCTCACCCGATCCGGCAAGTGCACCAAGCATGCGAGACCACCGCCATTGTGGTTCGTTGGAGTCACTGGAGAGGCTCTCGTCAGCCCTACGTCCACGCACGGAACGCTTCTTTGGAATCAAAGACAATGTCAAGCAGAAGTTCTGCCACTACCGATAGCTATATGTCCTAGCGCGTGCTCGCTAACTGAAGGCGTCGCCATCACTTGGGCGGGTACTTCAGCCGATCCTCTGCACCCGGACTTGATAATCCGGGCTTGCTCAGTAATCACCTTGGTTGTCAAAGAGTACCCGGTCCTTGATCGAGCTTATTCTCCAGGGTTCAAACAGAAGACGGGCCGGGATTGCACTGGAACCACTGGGTAACATTAGCAGCTGCGCGCGGGGCGGTCACTTCTTGCTCTGATCTTCAAACTCTCATCATCTGCGCCCTGGGAGGCAGCCTCGATTGGCTGCTGTTTTCAGTTCTGGTCCCAGATTTGAATTGCTGTCAAATGCTTCAAGCTAGCCAATGACTACCGGTTCCATGTGGTCGGCGCGACCTGCATGTTCGCTATTGAGCTGAAGTAAACAGGTTGCGACCCTGTTGAAACACAAAGCCATGACAGGGGCCAAGACGAAGCCACTTGTTTCGGCGAAAGTCAGCTGTATTGAGTCACCTCAGCTTCATTGGGGAAATGCCCCTCAAGTAGCGTTGACTATCGCTCTTTCTAGCGACTATTATTGGGGCATTCCGTGTCCTCCGGCCTAACGTTCTAGCAAAAGACCCCTAGAAAAGTCAGTGCAATCTGACACACGCTCAGCCAGACCAGCGTATGGAAGGAGAGTAAGATGGGTTGTAGCACGTTTTGACCGCTTTTGACTGTGCTAACCAGACTAGCGTGTCCGTAGTCATTCATGTCTCTTCTGTTCCTCGGGCTCAGAAATCAGATTCGACTGTCTCATTAGCAGAACGCGCTTGGACGCCCAGCCGTTGGTTCATAGTGGACGTGCCATTGCGGGTGGATCATCAACACCTTCTCTCCTAGCGGGAAGAAGTGGGGGGTAAACGACAACCCCTGCTCAAACCGATCCTCTACTAAATCCCCGGATCGTGCGCCGAGCATATCATCCCCTCGATCGCGGTCGTTGTGTCCGTCATCGGGCCTTACGGATTCATATCACAACCCCTCCCGAGAAAGAATGCTGGAGCCTGAGCCACCATATCTTGGCAAGAGTCCGAACACGCGGAGACAGTCGATCGCATCTTGCCGTTCGTACCCAATGGAGCGGCACTTTTGAGGTGATCTCGTTTGCTGCGCGGTATACCGGTACTTCTTCTGGCCTCGTAGCAGCTTTTGCCCTCGCCATCGCGCAACCAGACTGAGAAAGACTGCATTCCTAGCGCATGATATCGTGCACCATCGATGCATATCTATGAACGAAGCTCAATCTGGAGTGATGACATCCGGGAGTGATGGCAAGGCTAATTAACAGTCACAACGAAGAGCTTGTGCGGAGATTGGCGGAGTTCTCCCTGATCGATATGGTTTTACTGCACTATGCTGTTGATCCCTCTGAGCATGGATTTCGATATTCGTCTCACGGAAGCGTTGCTTCTGAATTACGACCTCATTGCCTATGGGCTTTTCGACACCGACCTTCCAGATCGAGACACCGGGAAATAGGAGATATCTGGCGTCAACTGGAGAATGGTTCCCACATCGCGCCCGATATAGCCAGTCATTGATCAATATTTTTCAGTATCTGTATCCGTACTTGAGCACCAATTCCTTCCGATTTCTGAGCCTTCAATGATGCGGGGTCGCCGCGGGGAAACGACTATCAAAAGGTATCGGCTGTCTCAGTTCGCGTGCTTCAAACGATTCAGTTGCCAAAATCTGCATCCTCAGACCTCAAGAGGTTTTACTTACCACCCTGGCGGCCTGTTACAACGACCCGATCCGCCTCATCCCGCTAGAGTTCACACCTGTCTCGATATTGGTCACTTCTCACTTTCTACAGTTCGACAATGTACTGGTACAAGACTGCCTCCCCTAGCGGTCATTTACGGCCATAGTCAAGTGTCAAACGTGTTAGTGGCATGCGGCGGAACACCAGTCGGCGGTGTGCCAGTTCTGCCCGTCAAGCATCATGGGCCGGTCGAAGATGCAAATCGCACCATAGCTCTCGTTTTTAGGAAAACAATGATTCCACATCTATCAACCCCATCTCTGCTGTGGAGACATGGCCGGGAGCGGTCCAGCATCCCAGCGTCTACGGAGTACGGTATGCCGGAATGCAATTCTTTTCCCTTTCCAAACCCAACGAGCCTGTCATCCCCGTGCCTCTTGTCAGGTGGAGAATAGTCACGTATCCATGTCTGCTTAGTTTCACGGCGCATGCGGGCGCATGGGGGCTGGCAAGTCAGACGTGGAGTTCCTGGCGATGGAGATCCATCGATGGATTTGGGAAGCCGAGGCCTAGGCTGCGTACGTATACAACTCCGACGTCGTCCAACCAGCTCCAACAAACAGGTGGTCGGTCCGCCTCACTACTTTGGTATGTAAGTTCAACTTGATCAGAGGAAAAGATCAACAGGCCGCGCTCAAAGTATCAGGGCTCCAGCTTTGCTCTTTTTAGGTTTCACTGTTGACTAGGTATTTGCTGCATTTTGCCGGAGTCTCCATCATAGTTCGAGGCCCTCTTGTTAACCTGGGAAGTCTGGACCGCTCACAACTCGAAGGCTAAATCCTCGTCCACATCTAATCCACAACCACACACTACTTGCTACCATGTGGCATTTCAACTTTTGCTAGTGCCAAACGTTTGGCGATGAGCTGTCAATACTACGTCAGAAAGCACTTTCCTAATCAGCGATTCCGCCGATCGGGTGCATAGACTCACCTCACCGCACGTCACCGGTCCGTACTTTGCCGGGCTACTCTCATCAATGCAGGTCGGAAGGACGCCAAGCTCCTGGTCGAAATTGAATCCTGTTTTATTGCGAGACAATTGATCAGTGAAAAGGGAACCAGAAGGTGGGCATCATCCTCCAAGTTTATGACCTCATGATGAAAAGGAGAATCTCTTACCAAAGAAGAAGGGCATGGAGATCCTGTCCTCTCTGCCGTGCTGCACGACGCGGTGTACAGTCGACTTGAGCCTATCGTTTGTCATTCTCATGAAGAAGTCACCAATGTTAACAACAAACGTGCCGCGGATCGGCGGCGCCCACATCCACTCCCCCGCACTGTTGAGCACTTGCAGTCCTCGGTGACTGTCTTGCCACAGAAGAGTCAAGATTTGCAAGTCCGTGTGCGCGCCGACGCCGACCTCGTCCGGGTCCTGGATCGGCTCGTCCCCGTGACCGGGATAAAAATTTATTGCGAAGTCACCGCCGGGGTAGGTAGTGAGTGAATCGAAATAATCTTCCGGCAGGTCGAGGGCCAGAGCAATGACACGGATAAGACGGCGGGAGAGGGCCAGGCACTCGCGCCAGTGCGCCAACACTGTGGCCTTGAAATCCGGAAGGACGGCAGAGTCGCCATCGTCAGTCCACTCAAAGTCCTCCCGAGGTAAATGCGCTCTGACGTTCACAGGAACCTGGTCGAGCCGGTTCTCGTGGAGAGGATCGAAATCGGGTTCATAATGACAGAGGAAGGCCTCTTTCCTATCTTTGGTCTCGCCCGGGTTGGCCTGCCGCTCCCGGAAGCCGGTGTACCCGTAGGCCGATGTGTTGGAGGTGAGCTTTCGCTTTTCCTTCTCGGGAAGCTTGAAGAACCTAATTTCCAGTAAGCTCAGATGTCTCCGGAAACGTATCCGCATGGTCTGCAAAAGGATTCGGATTAAGTGAAACGGTGAGTGGGCGAGCCTACTTACTCTCTTCCCTTTTGATGCGCCGCTTCGATCACTTGCTCGGGAATGCCGTGATTCTTGATATAAAAGAACCCGCTGTTTTTGGCAGCACTCAAAATCTCCAGGGCAATCGCTTTGCGTTCTTCAAAGTCGCCTGTAAGCCCGCTCAAGTCGATGATGGGCACGTCGTCGAGGGTGCAGTCTTTAGGTGGGCTCGTGGACACCAGCCTGTAAGTCGGCCCATCAAAAGTATTGAGCACGACCTTCTTCTTTCCCGTGGGAACAGTTTCGACTGCGGTTGCTGCGGTCATTTCGGAAAGCACTTTATCTACAGCCTGAGCCTCTGGAGCGCCACGATCTTCAAAGCGATCACTATCAAAATGATATTTAGTCGAACAATATCGTGATTTGGTGCACCTGTATCCCCCAATGTCGGCAATGCGACATGTCAGAGTGGGGGTAATGATCTGCTATATATAAAACTTCAATACCTGAAGCTGACGTTACACGACTCAACATTTTACTGCCGCCACTATTGAACTCCTTACATGCTGTCGAAGATTATCCTCAGGATAAGGTAAGGTGCTGAGATAAGGTTATCACCTATCCGTCGATTTCCGGTTATTTCCTTCCCCAATCGCGCTGCCCCGCTACGTGGGTCTCCACATGAGCCAACACATAAAGGGCCACTGTCATCCGGCTATCTCCTGTTCCGTCCGATCACCAACGATCACCTACCAACACTTTTTTCTCCGTTCCCTTCATTCGGAACGAAACAACTTGCTTGCAACTATATCGCATCCGGCCCATCTCCCGAAAGCTGGAAGGTTATGAGGTGGGTAATCGATTAAGCGGACCGAGGCAGGATATGCACGCCGGAGCCGAAACGCCAAGCGTGCGACGGCGCAGGTTGAGCGACGACAGCCGACGGGATGTGGTGGGGATGGAGGAGTCGAGCCGGAAGAGAAAGAGGCGGATCCTCTCCTGTGACACGTGCCGGAGGCAGAAGTGTCGGTGTGAACTCGACGAGGATTCCGAGGCGTGCGCGAGGTGTCGTTCGTTGAGGTAAGTTGATGATCGGCGCTTCGGGTTGTTGTTGGTTTGATAAGTTGTCGCTCGAGCTATTCGCGTTTCCTCATTGCAACCGTGACGAGGGCTCCCCCTTACAACATGAGAATCCAACCAATTGGAAGAGAAGTTTCAGAGGAGCTGATGAATGTAGAATTACTTGCACATGGAACGACAGCGGCGATACCCATTCAGTTTCTTCGCGCGAACCGCCGGCCAAACTTGATGTGGAGGGAAGGTATGAATCCCATGACTTGAAATATTCCCCTGGTCCACTGGTTTTATACCATTTGCCTAATACGGCAATACTTACGAAACCAAAGCGCTAACTGACTTTCCATCGGCAGGTTCCGAAGCCTAGAAGCGTCTATAGTAGACCTCAAGGCAACGGTGCAGGCGCTAGCATCGGGCAGCCGGCCAGAAGTGAGACGGGCGTTGGCAACGGGGCGCCAAGAGAGACTCTATCAACCGCAGCAGCAATATTCACCGGCCGATAAGAGTGTTGTCGACGATCACGATTCTGAAAAGGCCAGGGAAAACGAGGACGTCGAGCCAGGAGACCGACATGTTTACTTATCTCCAGCAGAAGTTGTCCGAAAAGTTGGAAGCCAACTGAGTGGAGGTTATCGAAGGACATTCGATGTCCAAGCTGATGTCGTTTCGTCAGGTATTTTGGACGACAAGACGGCTCGTGATTTGGTTGCAGAGTGAGTTCTTTTATTCAACGTCGCCTCAAGTACTTTGGACATGAGCTTGGTTAGGAAGGAAAAAGAAACCACTATGCATGTTAGAAGTCGGGTGGGCGAATCATGTTTCGCCAACATGTTTGTCACAACTACATCGTCGTATTGGCAACTAGCTAATATTTTGCTAATCCGCGATACATAGGTTCGTCAGTCGAAGGCGGAATACCCTCCTAATCAACAGCGAAGCCGACCTCGCCCCAAAGAACAGGGACCTCCGGCACGCCTCGCCCTTTTTACACGATGCCTGCTGTCTGCACGCGATGCGCTTTTCCGAGCACAGCTCGTCGGTACTACACCGCCGTGTGTTTGAGCACGTGCGCCTACAGATGGGTCAGCTAATGATTGCGAGCCCGTTGCCTTTGGAAGAGTTGACAGGCATCATGATTATGGCTTTGTGGGCTTCAGCACCATCGGTACGTTGTGCCATACATGGCCATTGAGATCCATAAACGTGGAAACAGGAAGAAATCAGTGAACAAGATATTTGGGTGCAGATTGACTGATGCAAAACAAAAAACAGGGGCCGGAATACATCGACAGCTGGTTGGTGAGCGGACATTGTGCGCAACAGGCTATGTTGAGCATCAACTTCTCGGAAGTCTTGTCGCGGACAAAATCAAGGACATCGACGGATGAGGACCAGAGGGTCATGCGACTTTGGGCCAACACGTGCTTGGTAAATCTCCAGTGAGTCTCCCCTGCCATGGTTGATGTTTTGATTTATCAAAGGGAATGAATTACATCTGGAAAAAGGAAGATGGACGTTGTTGGAACGGGATCTACAATACTGATTGTAGAACCAACCAACACATTAAGAATATCGCTAATGCCGATCAATATGCAGTTGGGCCGCGACCACTAGTCGACCAGCGACCGTACCGGCTGCATACCTCCTGCAGTGCAAGCTTCTACTCAACTTTGAGAAGCCGACAATGCTCGATGCCATGGTCTACGCCGAGATCATGCTTTACATGATCCTACAAGACAAGTTTGCGCAACGATCTTACTTAGGAAGCGACGGCACATGTGAAGAGCTCTCGGCGTGGAAGACGAGGTGGAATTACCTATTTGGTAAGTACCGAACGCAGCTGGTCCCCACGACGCGACGACGTACATTCAAAGAAAAGGCGCCGACCACGACATGTCCATCAATTGTAATGCTAGCAGGCATCATTGTACAAGCTGACGTATCGATTGAACAGATCTTCCGGCCGCATCAACATTGAGGATAAGTTACTCAATAGCGTGGCTCATCCTCGCCCGGCGTTCACTCGAACACGATCAAGCCACCTCGGATCAAGACTCCTTGTCCAGCTCACCGAGACTTGCTCCGGCCGATGCGCGAGCGGATAGACGACAGAGAAACGCGGATCCGCAAAGCCCTCCCGACATGACGCAGTCGCGCGTGCGAGCCTTTGCGACAGACGTCGTCAGGGCCTTTGTCGACATGCCCGGTTCCCGCGCAGAGGAGCTGCCCGAGTTCCACCGCCTGTGTGTCGCATACGCGATGCTCATCATCTCCAAGTACGAGCAGAGATCTTCCTTACTTGAAGGTGATGGTGCGGGCGTGGGCGAGGGTGACGATGCGGTGTTGGAACTCCTCCGCGCGGCACAGAGGCACAACGGCGTCCGAGGGAACAGCGCACCGTCTGCGATTCAATTCGGCCTAGAGAGGGCTTTGAAAAAAGTAGCGGAGA